GGTACAGTGAAGGTCAAAAGGAAAAAAAAAGTGAAAAAAAAGTGTTGGAGACACCCGGACTCGAACCAGGGATCTCGAGGTTGGAAGTCAAGTGCGTTACCGATATACCAAAACATCTCCCATAGCGATTACACGTAAACAGGAAATGGAATTCAGAAATCCTACTTTGCAAGTGAAATACGAGCATGATCCCGGCATCTAATCGAAAAATAAAGGGCACACTTGTGATAGCTCATTGTCTCAGCTACAACATATCCAAAGCTCAGCGAAAACGAAGTTAAAACAACGGAGATTTTGCTCGCGAAAGACAGGAGTGTAGAATCCAGTTTTGAGAAAAAGTCATGTCCCATAGAGAATACACGCAAAATGCGAACAATTGACATGCCTCCTTTAATCGCAAAAATACACCATGATACTTTTGTCAAAAATAAAAATTGTGAATACTGCATTTGTAGGAAATTGTCTCAGCTAGAACATATTAAAATTTGAAAGAAAATTAAAAGATATTTACAGAGATACAATCAATTTTCCAAAAATATGCTGACGTCATAATATGCAAATTGAAATTTTGAGTTTGGAGGCCATTATGATGACATCATGAGTTAATTGAGGATCAAATGAGACATGAAATCATATTTCCGACTCATAATCTATCCAAATATGACAAAATATTAGGAGTTTCTATCTATTCTAAAGAGTTACAATGAATTTTATATAGGCATGTTTTTGCCCATGTATTGTGGATAAAGATAACACAAATCCGCGTGTGCTGTCAACTTTGACGGACGCTCATTGCGTAAATAAAAGGTGAACAAATTATCAAAATGCTTGGAAAAATGTGCCAAATATGATGACAGAGAAAATTTGACGATTCTATGTTGCAAAGAGCCAGTACGCGCGGAAACGCGCACGCATGCGCGTGTGCGCGATTTTTTTGCGAAATGCTTTAAATGGCCTGAAACATATGCAAAAAAATTTGAAGATGATTTAGAGCATTTTAAATTTTTGCGCGCGCATTAACGCGCGCACGAACGCGTACGCGCACGTCTACGCACGTTTATTGACCTAAAATTGACCGGACGGATATTGATCTTAATCATGATAAATATGAATGAAAAAATACTATCCGTTATGAAGATATGACCATTAGTTGATTTTCACAAAATGGCGCCTGGATGACGTCACGATGACTTTGAGTCTTTGAAAAGTCACGCAGTTCTAAGTTAGACTAAGATCTATCCTCATTGAAAGATTCATAACAATGGCTTCATTCAGTCTTGAGATATCCTGCGAACAAATTCGAGGAAGAATAATAATAATAAACTAGACTTTAATTCGTCACTTAGACGATTTAGGTGATACGTATGATAATGGTTTACATAACGAATAATGCATTACACGATATATTATTTTGTAAAATGCTTCTCCCATTCATATGCTTCTCCCGTTATGATCTATTCATATGTCAAGATTAAATTGTGTCTCCTTGATCATCATGGATCTAGGGAAGATAGATTGAAACAATATATGACCTTTGACCCTGTGCAGTAACCAGTTACACATTTGACTCTAATTTACATCATGAAGAACACCTTTTGACGATTTTATCTTATTCAAAGAAATGAAAATGTAATTGATAAATGATTATCATCATTATGATAATGATGATCATGATGATTATGATCATGATCATGAGCGCGATCATGACATCTTATTGAAAAAATGAGGGTTGATTTAGATAGCATATAGTCTCAGCTACAACATACTCAAAAATCAACAAAATCCAAGCCGAAATAACGGCGATATTGCTCGCAAAAGAAAGGAATGTAGACTCCAGATTTGAGAAAAAGTCATCTCCCATAGGGATTACACGCAAAAAGTAATGGATTAAGTGAAAATAGGGTAATAATAAAGTAAAAAGGGTTATTTATGACATTATTTGCGAATCTACGTGTTTTAATAATCAAAGGAGATGGTACAATGGAGGTCAAAAGGAAAAAAAAAGTAAAAAAAAAAAATTGTTGGAGACACCCGGACTCGAACCTGGGATCTCGAGGTTGGAAGTCAAGTGCGTTACCGATATACCAAAACATCTCCCATAGCGATTACACGTAAACGGGAAATGGAATTCAGAAATCCTACTTTGCAAGTGAAATATGAGCATGATCCCGGCATCTAATCGAAAAATAAAGTGCACACTTTTGATAGCTCATTGTCTCAGCTACAACATATCCGAAGCTCAGCGAAAACGAAGCTAAAACAACGGAGATTTTGCTCGCGAAAGACAGGAGTGTAGAATCCAGTTTTGAGAAAAAGTCATGTCCCATAGAGAATACACGCAAAATGCGAAAAATTGACATGCCTCCTTTAATCGCAAAAATACACCATGATACTTTTGTCAAAAATAAAAAATGTGAATACTACATTTGTAGGAAATTGTCTCAGCTAGAACATATCAAAATTTAAAAGAAAATTAATCATTATGTACAGAGATACAATCAATTTTCCAAAAATATGCTGACGTAATAATATGCATATTAAAATTTTGAGTTTGGAGGCCATTATGATGACGTCATGAGTTAATTAAGGATCAAATGAGACATGAAATCATATCTCCGACTCATAATCTATCCAAATATGAAAAAATATTAGGAGTTTCTATCTTTTCTAAAGAGTTACAATGAATTTTATATAGGCATGTTTTTGCCCATGTATTGTGGATAAAGATAACGCAATTCCGCGCGTGCTGTCAACTTTGACGGACGCTCATTGCGTTATTAAAAGTTGAACAAATTATCAAAATGCTTGGAAAAATGTATCAAATATAATGACAGAAAAAATTCGGCAATTCTATATTGCAAAATGCCAGTACGCGCGAAAATGCGCGCGCATGCGCGTGTGCGTAATTTTTTTATCAAATGCTCCATATGGCCTGAAACGGATGTAAAAAAAAATTGGGATGATTTGGAGCATTTTAATTTTTTTCGCGCGCGTAAACGCGCGGACATAAGCGTACGCGCATTTTTGCGCGCATTTATTGACTTGAAATTGACCGGACGGATATTGAGTTTAATCATGATAAATATGAATGAAAAATGGCTTTCCTTTATGAAGATATGATCATAAGTTGATTTTCACAAAATGGCGCCTGGATGACGTCACGATGACCTTGACTGTCTGAAAAGTCACACAGTTCTAAGTTAGACTAAGATCTATCATCATTGAAAGTTTCATGATAATGGCTTTATTCAGTCTTGAGATATCCTGCGAACAAATTCGAGGAAGAATAATAAAAATAAACTAGACTTTAATTCGTCACTTAGACGAATTAGGTGATACGTATGATAATGGTTTACATAACGAATAATGCATTACACGATATATTATTTTGCTTCTCCCATTCATATGCTTCTCCCATTATGATCTATTCATATGTCAAGATTAAATTGTGTCTCCTTGATCATCATGGATCTAGGGAAGATAGATTGAAACAATATATGACCTTTGACCCTGTGCAGTAACCAGTTACACATTTGACTCTAATTTTCATCATGAAGAACACCTTTTGACGATTTTATCTTATTCAAAGAAATGAAAATGTAATTGATAAATGATTAGCATCATTATGATAATGATGATCGTGATGATCATGATCATGATCATGAGCACGATCATGACATCTTATTGAAAAAATGAGGGTTGATTTAGATAGCATATAGTCTCAGCTACAACATACTCAAAAATCAACAAAATCCAAGCCGAAATAACGGCGATATTGCTCGCCAAAGACAGGAATGTAGACTCCAGATTTGAGAAAAAGTCATTTCCCATAGGGATTACACGCAAAAAGTAATGGATTAAGTGAAAATAGGGTAATAATAAAGTAAAAAGGGTTATTTATGACATTATTTGCGAATCTACGTGTTTAAATAATCAAAGGAGATGGTACAGTGAAGGTCAAAAGGAAAAAAAAGTGAAAAAAAAGTGTTGGAGACACCCGGACTCGAACCAGGGATCTCGAGGTTGGAAGTCATGCTAGGAGTCCACTGGGCCGCGCCAGTTGGCGCCAGTTTGCGCCAATGCAATTTACTGTGGCGCCTAGTGTCGCCAATAAGGTGCCTAGTGGCGTGTAGTGGCTCAAACTGCCTCCCAACTGGCTCGTGGTGGCCCGTAACGGCACCAAATTTGAATGTGGCGGCAAGAAAATTTCAAAATGTTTGAAATTTTCGTCGCGCCACTTGCATCGAGCAATCAGCGCCAAGTGTCCGCCAAGTGGCACCAAATGGCGCGAACATATCGCCCTTTGGCGCAAACAATCCGCCTATTGGAATCCACTGGAATGTAATGGCGCGCGCTAAGTTGCGCCAATGAGATTTCGCGCCACATGGCGCCACTTGGCGCCAAGGGGCACCTTGTTTGCGCCACTACGCGAGCCAAACGGCACCCGATTGGTGACTACTTCGCGCCAAATGCCACCTGATTGCCCGCCATTCGGCGCCACTTGCCGCCTATAACAGCAGGGCGGCATCGCAGGACTTTCTCACAGTGATGGCGGCAGTTCTCCAAGCTCTAGGGATGAGGTTGTGCTGGGCATCCTCCTGGTCCAACATGCGGATGTCCCATGCCTGATAGTGCTTCCTGATGAGGTTGTGCAGCATGACGGCAGCTTCAATGAGCAGGCGGACTGTGTCTGGTTCCTGTCTCATCTGGCCAAGGAAGCACTGGAACCGCAGAGCCAGAATACCAAAGGCATTTTCATCCACACGCCTTGCCCTGGACAGCCTGTAGTTGAAGATCTTCTGCTGTTGGTCCATGCTACGCCGGCCATAAGGCTTCATCATGTACGTCCTCATGGCGAAGGCATAGTCTCCCACGAAGAAGTACGGCATAGCGTGCTCTTCATCATCATGGGGAAGAGGAGCTGGATCTGGGATGCCTAAAGCGCCAGCTTCAATGCACTCCTTCAGTTCACTGTTGTTGTAGATCTGGGCATCAGACTGATGGCCAACCCCACCCACATCGATCCAGGAACTGGTACTTTGAATCTACCAGAGCCATCTTCTGACAACCGAGAAGAACTGCTTGTAGTTGAAGTAAAGGGCTTTTGCTAACGTTGCACCCAAACTATGGAACACTTTACCACTAGAAATAAGACAATCATCATCAGTCGAAACATTTAAGAAGAAACTTAAGCACCATTTGTTTATGTCGTAGTTTTAATATTGTAAAATTATGTCGTAGTTTGTATAGTGTATAATTATGTCGTAGTTTTAATATTGTATAATTATTTTTGATGTTGTACAAGAGCGCCTTGAGCAGTCTTTTAGAATGGATATGTGCGCTATATAAATTGACATTATTATTATTATTATTATTAAAGGCTGCCTGATTTGTTGGGCTTCTGGAGACGGATGTGCTTTCCATCATAGCCTCCCAGACAGTGAGGAAGATTCCATCTGGCTTCAAAATTACCTGCAACCTCAAGCCAGCCTTCATTGGTTGTGGTGAGTTAGATGACTTCTGCAGCATACTCATCCACTACCGCTCTGGCTACATCAGGGACAAACTTCTGGATGGTTTCCTTGCCCATTCGGAAGTTGAAAGACAGCTCGGCATAGGTGGCCCCATTGGCGAGATGGCGCAGGAAGACGGACAACTTGAGACCAAGGGAATGGCCTTCCTGATGTGGGTGTCCTTTTTCTGCAAGTGGGGTGTAAGCCTGACCAACAGGTCATCAAACATCTCTGGGGACACCCTGGTGTAGTTCTTGAACTTCCTCCTGTCATTCTCACTCAGCTCTTCCATCAAAGTGTGGTACTGTCCACGTTCGGTCCTCAACTGTGGGTGGAGCATGGGTCTAAACCACCAGTTGTGCTTCCTTTTCTTCTTAGGAGGCTCTTCTTCTTCAGGATTGGCCAGCATAAGTTGATAGGCAGTGGCCACCTCAGCATCTCTCATCATCTTCTGATGGAGCAGCATCATCACTCCAACATTATCAAAAGCCTCGGACATATCAAAATTGTAAATATTTAGTAGAGATGTTGTTCATACAGCAGCTGAGGAGGGTCTGAACCAGGTAGCCAATGGCCGGTATTTATTTAGTCGGCAAGTAGCGCCAAGCGGCGGCAAGTTCAAACCAATTTGGCGACCTTTGGCACAAACTAATCACCAAGTGGCGCAAAGTAGCCGTCTATTGGCGCGAATGGCGCCAACAGGGTGAATTTTGGAATCAAATGGCCGTGTAATGGCGCGAACTGGCGCGAACTGGCGCATCATTTTGGAGCAAGCCGGGTGGCATTTGGCGCACGCCATATGGCACCCAGTTTATTCCTCTTGGCGACACATGCCGAGCGGACATTAATTCGGCGCCACAGCGAGCCACTACGCGCCAATCACATAATCTTTGGCGCGAACTGGCACCAACTGGCGCCGGCCCAGTGGACTCCTAGCATCAAGTGCGTTACCGATATACCAAAACATCTCCCATAGCGATTACACGTAAACGGGAAATGGAATTCAGAAATCCCACTTTGCAAGTGAAATATGAGCATGATCCCGGCATCTAATCGAAAAATAAAGGGCACACTTTTGATAGCTCATTGTCTCAGCTACAACATATCCGAAGCTCAGCGAAGACGAAGCTAAAACAACGGAGATTTTGATCGCGAAAGACAGGAGTGTAGAATCCAGTTTTGAGAAAAAGTCATGTCCCATAGAGAATACACGCAAAATGCGAACAATTGACATGCCTCCTTTAATTGCAAAAATACACCATGATACTTTTGTCAAAAATAAAAATTGTGAATATTACATTTGTAGAAAATTGTCTCAGCTAGAACTTATCAAAATTAAAAAAAGAAAATTAATCCATATTTACAGAGATACAATCAATTTTCCAAAAATATGCTGACGTCATAATATGCAAATTAAAAATTTGAGTTTGGAGGCCATTATGATGACGTCATGAGTTAATTGAGGATCAAATGAGACATGAAATCATATCTCCGACTCATAATCTATCCAAATATGAAAAAATATTAGGAGTTTCTATCTATTCTAAAGAGTTACAATGACTTTTATATAGGCATGTTTTTGCCCATGTATTGTAGATAAAGATAACGCAAATCCACGCGTGCTGTCAACTTTGACGGACGCTCATTGCGTTAATAAAAGGTGAACAAGTTATCAAAATGCTTGGAAAAATGTACCAAATATAATGACAGAAAAAATTCGGCGATTCTATATTGCAAAATGCCAGTACGCGCGAAAACGCGCGCGCATGCGCGTGTGCGTAATTTTTTTATCAAATGCTCCATATGGCCTGAAACGGATGTAAAAAAAAATTGGGATGATTTGGAGCATTTTAATTTTTTTCGCGCGCGTAAACGCGCGGACATAAGCGTACGCGCATTTTTGCGCGCATTTATTGACTTGAAATTGACCGGACGGATATTGAGTTTAATCATGATAAATATGAATGAAAAATGGCTTTCCTTTATGAAGATATGATCATAAGTTGATTTTCACAAAATGGCGCCTGGATGACGTCACGATGACCTTGACTGTCTGAAAAGTCACACAGTTCTAAGTTAGACTAAGATCTATCATCATTGAAAGTTTCATGATAATGGCTTTATTCAGTCTTGAGATATCCTGCGAACAAATTCGAGGAAGAATAATAAAAATAAATAATAATAATAATAATAATAATAAAGAAAAATCTTGACGAAATCAAAAGGTGATACGTTGACTTCGTTACGTATCACCTAATAATAATAATAAAGAAAAATCTTGACGAAATCAAAAGGTGATACGTTGACTTCGTTACGTATCACCTAACTAGACTTTAATTCGTCACTTTGACGAATTAGGTGATACGTGTGTAACATAATGAAGAACGCATTTTCACGATTTCATCTTTCGTTATTAAATACTACTTCCATTATGGTATATCCATGAGTCAAGTTTCAACTGTGTAGAACAGAGGGAGACAGAGCAATATAATAAGAAGAAGGCAAGGCAAGAGAAAGAGAGAGAGAGAGAGGGAGGGGATAAAAGTGTAGAGAGGGAAAGAGAGATAGAGAGTGAGAGAGAGAGATGCAGAGACAGACCAAGTAAAGGAGAGGGGCAGAACATGAGGGGAGAAGGGAAACACAGCAAGAGAGAGGAGAGAGAGATGCAATTGAGAACAATGCCTTCCATATTTCTAGCATAAATAAGCTCTTTTGAATACTTGTCATGAAAGTGTTGCCGATAATCAAAAAACGATTATGTTCATGAATACGATGATGACGATATTAAAATGATGACCATGATTGAAAGTGGCACAGCGCCCCCTTCATGTTTTCGATTGAGGATCGTTATATATGATAACTGTTCACTATTACCAGGGAGAGTGCCCTGCTATTACTAAACATTGCAGAGATATACTTATACCAATCATTGAAGTGATATTTCGACGCACTAAATACGCAACAATGACGTCAATAGAGCTGATTATGACTAATAAGGACTATATCTTAACTAAGTTTCATGCTGCTTATTGACCGTTCCGTATTGGAAAGAAAGATCTACCGTTTGAATAACGTTTTAACGCACTAAGAATGTGAATGCTTCCGTGTGCCATCTGTCAAGTCTTGAGATAACATGCAAATAAAGTTTTTAAGCCCTTATTTTATCAACTAAACATGAACACAGTGATTTATTTAGTCCTGATTCAATATAAAATATGAGTAAGATATTCATATTTTACCCATCCATAAACCAACATCTATAAGATGTTAATTCTAGAAATGATTGTTAGTATGCATGGCAGTGAATGGCTAAACGATTGAAATTGCCTCAAATTTCCTTTGATTTGATTTGTATACATGTAATACACTAATAAATGAGACACTGGGATGATGCAGAGAGAAAGGGGGAGACTATACAGAAATAGAGAGGCAGATCGAGACAGAACAAGAGATAAAGAGGAAGGCAGCAAGGCATCTCACCCATCTCCTTTTTTCTCAATTCTCTTTTCCCTCTTTCTTCTTCTACTTTTACTTCTTCTAATAATTCCCCTTTTTTTACAGTTTGGATAAAACATAACCTTTTTCTTGTAGTAGCTATTACCTAGAGGAAAATATAAATGTGTACAATTTGTCATATAAGTATTCGCATAATAACTTCGCCTCTATCATTTGTAATTTGTATAATGTGTAATGCTTGAATATTGATATCGATACCTTAGGATAGTGTTACTATACCCTCCGTCTATCCTCTTACCATCTTACCATCAACTTTTCTTTTCTTTCTTTGCTTTACATCATCATCATGTTCTTCTTCACTTTGTGTATCTCCTTTTTATATCAAATGATTTCGGAAGATCAAAAATGAAATACAAATTTCGAAGTTGAATATTGTTTTTAACAATTTACTCATTCTGGTTCAATTCTTTAATTTCGATGTTATTTGATATGAATGTTTGAATATATTGTATTTTAAATTTGTAAAACATTACCTAATTCATCCGTTTATGCCGCAATGCATTGTTGTTCTTTTATTTTTATTCTCAATCAAACCATCATCAATTAAACTCAATACTAGGACACTGCTAACGTTAAAATTCACAAATAGGACATACGTGACATCATAATTACTGCAAAGTTCTACGGAATTTGCAAATTCGACTTTCAATTGAAAATTGTGACATGATACCATCATCTGATCGAAAAACTAAAAGCACCGTTTTTATAGCCCATGGTCTCAGCTATAACATACCCAAATTTGGGAGAAAACAACAAAGCACAAATAAGAAAGATAGTGCTCATAGATGAATGCCATGTAGATTCATGATGTGAACGAAATTCACCTTCCATAGACAATTTTGAGCAATTTAAAATTTTACGCGCGCCTACGCGTACGCGCATTTTTGCGCGCATTTATTGACCTCAAATTGACCCGACGGATATTGATCTTAATCTTGATAAATATGAATGTAAAATTACTTTCCGTTATGAAGATATGATCATAAGTTGATTTTTACAAAATGGCGCCTGGATGACGTCACGATGACTTTGAGTCTTTAAAAAGTCACGCAGTTCTAAGTTAGACTAAGATCTATCATCATTGAAAGTTTCATGACAATGGCTTTATTCAGTCTTGAGATATCCTGCGAACAAAATCGAGGAAGAATAATAGGAAGAAGAAGAAGAATAATAAATAAAAATCTTGACGAAATCAATAGGTGATACGTAGACTTCGTTACGTATCACCTAACTAGACTTTAATTCGTCACTTAGACGAATTAGGTGATACGTATGATAATGGTTTACATAACGAATAATGCATTACACGATATATTATTTTGCTTCTCCCATTCATATGCTTCTCCCATTATGATCTATTCATATGTCAAGATTAAATTGTGTCTCCTTGATCATCATGGATCTAGGGAAGATAGATTGAAACAATATATGACCTTTGACCCTGTGCAGTAACCAGTTAGTAAATTTAGAAGTAAATCGATCAATATTTACAGAGATACACTGTTGGTCATAATGGTGGAATATTTATTTTTACCCCAGTTTAGGGAAGGATTTGAAAAAAAATATTTATTCCTAATAGATCTAGATAATGGCATACATTCTCAGATTTTATTGAATATTAATTTGCGAGTGTTTATTTTGCGTGACTGCTTAATC